TGTTAGGAGAACCTGTTCAGTCGGTACGTGCTTGCGGCGAGGACATTGAAGTCACAGAGAGCTTTACATACCTTGGTAGTGTAGTTCATAACTCTGGGCTGTCAGACCATGAAGTCAGCAGACGGATTGGCCTGGCAGCAGGGGTCATGAACTCTCTCAACAAGAGTATTTGGAGATGTCGTACCTGTGCAGAAGGACCAAGCTACGGGTTTTCAAGGCCCTGATAATGCCAGTTTTGCTATACGGTAGCGAAACCTGGACATTGTCCTGTGCCTTGGAGGCTCGTCTTGAAGCCTTTTGTAATAGGTCCTTGCGCCAGATCATGGGGTACTGTTGGCGGGACCATGTGTCCAACCAACGGTTGCACCGTGAGACTGGCACAAGCCCTGTTATCTGCACAATCCGTGATCGCCAACTCAGGCTATACGGCCACCTGGCTCGCTTTCCTCAGGATGATCCTGCCCATCAGGTCGTCTCTGTTCGAGACAACCCTGGGTGGAGGAGGCCTTTGGGACGACCGAGGAAGTCATGGCTTGGGCAGATCGACCAAACCTGCCGTGAAGAACTAGAGATGGGCCGAGTCCCTGCCTGGCGTCTAGCCATGAGGGATCCTCGTAGGTGGAAGCGAAGGGTGGATGCGGCTATGCGCCCCCGCCGGCGTCAGCCCCCATGATGATGATGATGATCAAGGTCTATATAAGGACAGGTCTCGTCACTTCGGAGTTCTGCGCAGCTTTGGGTGATAAGGCCTATGACGTCACTAGGCGTGAGAAGGAGACACTAGAAAACGAAAGCAAGTGAGCAAATACTTAAGTAATTATAGAAGTTGGCACGTTGAACGATTTGCATATTGGACAGATTTTACAAGCGATGATTATCAGTGATTATTTGTAGGTCTATTTCGCATATTTTACGTGAATTCGGTTTTGTAATCCTCATGCTGCAGCTTGGATATTGCATAATACAGAAGTAAAATAAACAAAGAAAACACGGTACATTTAAACCAAATATTTTTTGACGAATCTATTATAAAACAAATCATACAACCAACGCACAGCATAAAATCAAAGACAAGTACAGCTTACACACACACACCACACACACAACACACACACACACATATATATATATATATATATATATATATATATATATATATATATATATATATATGGATAGATATAGATATAAAATATATAATGATATAAATATATGATGGGCGATCACAGATTTTGCAACCAACCACTGAACAACTACTGCGCATTGAGGCTTTGCGCGCGCCAGGCAGTCAAGCGAGCGAAAACGGAGAGAGGAGATCCTTACGGCTCTACATCACATTCAAGAATGACCACACGATTAGCGTCGAACCCCAAGGCTTCTACGCCTAGTGACGTCATGCGCGAGACGGACGAATTTGAGTCGCTTAGTGACGAGACCTATACAAGGTACTTATATAGACCTTGAGTCGTATATCTAATGAGTCATATCGATATATGCGCCCTCTTGAAGAAATGTTCGCGCAACGCACACTAAAAGCACCTGAAAAACTCATGCTAACGTAAAGCGTTTTAAGCAGGGGAGCGCTTGGGCAAGAATTCTTGCCGATAGGCCAAGCGCTGTACCGTTCCCTGCTTAAAACGCTTTCCAAGGCAGGCAGGCCCTGTTCAGTGATGCCAGACATGTGGAAGTGTCTTTCTATAAAGAACAAGTCATAACAGTCATTGGAGAACATAGAAATGTCAAAATAATACACAGCATATACATACTTGGGTTTTAAAAGCAATAGACAAGTATTCTCACCAACAATCTTGGAAAGAGATAACTAATGCATAAATCGAGAGTGGAGTTTAATCCATTGGCGGTTGGTAACAATTCGAGTGCGCATTTCAAAACAACTGACAAGCTAGCACCGCATCAAGATGGCAGAGTAAATCTACCCAAACATCTTAACTAAGCGCAATATTTTCTCCTATTTTCATATAAAGTGCCTTTAAAACAATGACACAGACTTTCGATTGGCAGCCCTTTCATTCTGAACGTTATCAAAACAAATGAATATCTCTGAATAGCAGATACATTCTCGATTTAGAGAGACGAGGAGTAACAGTACAGAAAGAGGTAAGTAAAACACTTTTCATTCCCATAATCTCCATTATCTCCTTTCGTTTTCAGTTAATTTCAATTTCTTTGAATATAATTTTAAGAAAATTACAGAATCAGATACCGTGAAAAAAAATATTTATCTGATAAGATATTAAGCCGAGTTCCTAGCCAACGCCCACATTCGAAGGATCATGACCAGTACGGTACGTGACCGACGCTGTTGCCATGGTGACGGTACACCGCTTGACTTAGCAAGCGCAAGTCTAGCCATCTACGGAGGTCGCTTGAGAAAGCAAGCGAAATGCTAGAGTTAGCAAGAAAAACGCTTGAGATTTCAGGCAAGAACTTTCCCTGCTTAAAACGCCTCTAGCCTATGTATTTCCGCAGTCAAGGGTCACTCAACCCCCCCCCCCCGAAGTAGCCCAGCTTCTTGGGTCACTTCAGGGCTAACTTAACCTAACTTATCCTGGCCTTTTGTATATCCCGAGACACGGGAGCTTCACTCACCCTTGATTCCCCTGTAGGCTTTGTCATTCAAATAACGGCGAGGCATTGAAGGTATTTCAGCGATAACCCGGGCGCCTCATTTTAGCATATAATGTCCCTTGTTTTGTGTGGCGTTATTGGAGGTGCACTGCGTTCCCCCTGCGATTCGTGATGCTTTGAGTCCCCGAGTCAATAAGGGCACGGAAGCCGCTCTTCTGCCACGACGGTGCGTCCGGGGGACTGGCGGGAGCTTGGCGCTGTGGGGTGGGGGGTCTAGAATCTGACGGGGTCTAGAATCTGATCTAGAATCTTCTGACGGGGGTCTAGAACCTGACGGGGGTCTAGGATCTCACGGGGGTCTAGAATCTGACGGGGGTCTAGAACCTGACGGGGGTCTAGAATCTGACGGGGGTCTAGAATCTGACGGGGGTCTAGAATCTTCTGACGGGGGTCTAGAACCTGACGGGGGTCTAGAATCTCGGGGACTCGCTCGATGCCGCCGAAGAACTTGCCGGACCGCTTTCCGTTTTCCGACGAGGGCGGTGGGAGCGAGTGGCAAGTCCCGCCGGCCCAGGCTAGTGGCCAGTTTCTTAAAATTGTGCGACGCCCGATCCAATGAATATTCATACTTTCGGACATGCATATGCACAGAAATAAATGCATATCTGTCAATTGATCTGATAGATATACATTTATCTATTTATCTATCCGGAAAATATTTATGTCTAGACTGACAGATATGGTATCTATTTCTGTGTATATGCACGTCTGCATAATCGATATTCTTTGGGTCGGGCCTCGCGAAATTTTAACCGGCTGTAGACCTCGAGCAAAAATTCAGTTTCTGCTCTATCAAACGAGGTGGTCTTGTCGAATGCAGCAAATTCAAGGCAGACACGATAGATTCGGATTGTCAGTCAGAAACATCATTAGTCACTTGCCCCATCAATTTAATAGAATAAAAAAAAACTGTTCTATATCATGAGTTTCAGTGGTTTCAATTGATTTATAACATTGAGATAATTGAAAAGAGGAAAAGACAGGCGGACGGAAGAGAGAAATGGTAAAAATGAAGACAAAGAGAGAGAAATGTTAGATCTATAAAGACAGAGATATATAGAGAAAGAGACAATATTCAAGAAAGGCGGAAGAAGGATGAAATAAAATGCAGAGAGAAATACAAAGAAAGAGATGTTCATAACGAAGAGAAGAAGCGAGAGAGAGAGAGAGATCAGAATTTTTTAAAAGCGGTAGAACTAGAGAGCAAAATTGAAGAGAGATAAAGAGACAGGTGTCAGCATTGAAGCAAAAGAGATATCAAGAGAGACAGACATTCAGACATATTGAAGAGAGAGAGACAGGCAAAAAACAATGAGAGTGAGAGAACTGAAGAAGGGAAGAGATGTAAAGAAACAGAGTTGTTAAAATGGAGAGAGAGAAAAAAGGTTAAAACTGAAGAGAAACGAGACAGATAGAGGTGTTCAGATCAACATAGTGAGAGAAAGAGATATTACAGTTGATAAGAGAGAGCCGGAAAGCAAGGCAGAGGCTGAAAGATGGTAAGAGTAAAGAAGTTAAAAGAGAAGGGCATTTGTGCTCATATCACACATTCCTACATGCCTGGAGATGCACCCCCAAGGAAGTTCGTTCTCCACCCCCACCCCTTGTGCAAGGCGAAGACTGTCAACCCTTCCTGTCACTATCTGCTTTTCTTTCACTTTCTCCCTCCACACAATCCTGGTCAGAGCAGGTCGGATTCTTGACTTCTGACCTCCCCTTGCAGTCCTTGTCCGCAAGTCTCCCTGCTGCCCGTCCGAATATCACTTCTCATGACCTCTAAAGACAATAAAATGAAGCACTGGTACAAGAAGAGTAGGGAATTAAACCAACGTATTTTTCTCATCTCATTGTGTTTATGCTATGCTATCTACCGTGTGTCATTTTCTAGCCTATCGTCCTCCTATTGCTGCACCCACCACCCACTCATGCCTTACATATAAACATCTATTACTTGTGATGAGAGAGAGAGAGATTGAGAAAATAGGCGAAAGAGGAGAGGAAGAGAGAAGTAGGGGCAATGACAGAGAGAGAGAGAGAGGGAGGGGGGGGGCGGAAGAGAAGGAGAGAAAGAGAGGGAGGGAAATGGACAGAGACAGAGAGAGAGAGAGAGAGAGAGAGAGAGAGAGAGAGTGCATCCAGGCAACTGGCAATCACGCACCCAAAAGCGTTTCCACAAAGTCTCATCAGCTGATTAGCCCCATTCGAGGGCCAGCATCCACTCCCCTCCCTTTTAGCGTCTGTTCACCAAGCAGAGGGGCGCACCTCGTCCACACCCATATAAGGACCAGAGCAGACCCATCACCTCAGACAGTGCTCTGCCCTGACGCTTAGTGTGGGTCGCAGATCGTAAC